CCTCTAATGGAGTCACACCCAAACTAGCAAGAAGGAAAGTAGAAGAGAGAGAGGAGAGAGGAGTATGCAAAATCTCGGCCTTAGGGTTTCTTCAAAAGAAAGAGTGACCAAAACATGAACCAAGAGGCTCCTATATAGCTGAGGGATCTAGGGTTTAAGGGAAACCCTAGTATCCTTTGCTTAGGGCCTAAGCAAACCCAAGGGCCTTATCCAAGCCCCTATGGACGAAATTATTAGGGTTTCCCCTAAAGATTTCGTCCACCCTCTTCCAAGGGGTTCTAGAAGCCTTCCACTCAACTATTAGATAATTGCAAACTAGTCCCTGCACCTTATAATTAATTCTTTTACCCCAAAATCAATTCTGATTAATTTCTGGCTAACAATTAATTAAACATAATGATTTCTAATTAATATATTAATCCATTAACATATTAATAAATCATTTATATATAATATTAATTTATTAATCTTATAATTAATATCTCTCCTTTCATAATTTCCTTGCAGTTGCTAGGTTGAGGGCAACCCAAAAGGACTGTGCTGCTGTCAATTCAAGTACATACCAATTATAGTTATGGGCTTAGACACCTAATCCAACAATAAACTGCCATTTTATAGGCAGAACCTTATACCCCCCTTATAGCCGGCTTCGTGAATGAGGCTACTAACGGAAACGACTTGCTCTTAGTACATTATATTATATAAATATATTATATATTATATTTATATATTATACTATATATAATATAATATTAACTTATAATACTAAGTATAAGGGTTGAATTTTAACTTATAAAACTCTAGGGTTTGGAATTAAAGTTGTGTGGAGACTTACAAATTCCAAAAACTTGAGGGCAAGTTGAACTATTAAAAACTTTTGGATTTCATAACTTATGAGTTTAATTAAGGTTTTAAAAACTTTAATGAAGAGACTCTTGAACATCCATAACTTGAGGACAAGTTATGGAGTTCTTAAAACAAAAGACTCTTCAACTTTTGTAACCTGCATTTTAATGGATCTTAAAAGAAATGTCTTTTGGTAATCCATAACTTGAGGACAGTTAGGACTCCGTTAGATACATTTAGATCAAGAATTAACGAACAAACAATTAACAAAATAATTCCTATGATCTACCAAAACTCATAAGTGTATGAACAATCATATCAACAATTTCAAGAATTACATAAACTCACATAAAACTTGAAATTTTGATAACAACCTTGAAATTGGTTTACTATAATCATTACCACATCAAAAAACAGGTTTTAAAAGTCCAAAACAGTTTAAGGTAATGATTCTAGACCAATTCCAGCCTTAAAACTCGAAGATATGCTGTCAGGGGGTCCAACTCGTCGAGGCATGAACCAACGCGACGAGTTGGATGAATTTAGGCATGGACTCGTCGAGTCCCTTAATGGACTCGGCGAGTCAGCTGACCAGACAACATACAAACTTCGATTTCAGCAACTTGCATCAAGTATAAAGAAAACAAGCCTGGCTCTGATACCACTGATGGGTTTTGAACATTCTAACACTCCTATGGTGTACATGCAACCTTATAAACCTTGGATCAATGTTTTTCTATTATACATGCAATATTCAACATTTCCAAGGTTTCATCCTAACTAGCATAATATGAACCAACTATACTACAAAAGCCTAGTTAGATGACATACCTTTTAATGAAGCTTGAAGTCTTGAACTTTAAGAGCTTAGCCCCAATAGTGTGAAAGCCTCAAGTGGAATCACAAATCACCAAAAACACCTTGAAAACTTGAGAGAATAGCTAGCACTTCTAGAAATCAGCCCACCCTTTGTTCTCACATACTAGTGCAAATTTCAAGTGCCAAGGACCTCTTTATATAGTATGGAGGATTAGGGTTACATTCATGTAAACCCTAATACCCATGACATTTCATTTCCATAGGTTCCATGGGTTAAACACTCCATGGACTATACATGAAAGCTTAGCCCAACCTAAATAAACTTGGCCCATGCTATATATAAGAGTCCATATTTAATTAGTTCCTTTTGATCACTAAATTAGTTCTAAATTAATTCTTGATCAATACTAATTAAATAATATGATTACATATTAATATATTAGAACTTATAATATATTAATATAAATCATAAACATACTATTCTCAAAAGACTATCCATATAAATTGTTCCGGTGAAGTGTAACCCAAATGGACCATGCCAAGTCGGGTCAAGTACATACCAATTATAGTTATGAACTTAGACACTAATCCAACACTTTCCGCCTTAGAAAACTCTCCGCACATACACCATCCTCATCCTACAGTTATGACTTCGAATTTCATTTGGGATTTGGTTTCGTTTGCGATTTTAGGACCTGGAAATTGTGTGTATCTTGAAAATTGAAACTGAGTGATTATGCTTACTCATCCTCTTCTGCAAATTTGGTGTTCCATTCAGGTGTTTAATTTTGGGTTTTGGGTTGAATCTGGTGTAAAGTTGGTTTGTTCATAGTGGGTTGGAGGACTCTAACGCCATTGTGGATGAACACACACACACACACAAGAAAGGGTTTACATGGACAAACCACACACACAAACAAACACATCAATTTCAGATTCACTGGAAAAGAGAATGTAGGTTTATAGGGATAAACATGTACACAAAAATCGTTTTTTTAGAAATCATCTTTCAGAGATGAGAGTTTGAGCGTTTTTTAGAGGTGATTTAAAGGTTTATGCCATGGTCAAACTTAAGGTTGAAGCTTGTCTGATATGCCCAACTCATATGCAGATTTAAATCATGTAAACTCAATCGTGAGAAACTCCAAAATATGAAACTGGAAGAAACATATATCCTACAGAGTTCGTTGTAGATCTAATTCATAATTTTTGAAAGGCCTTCGATCCTCATCTGATCGAGGAAGAAGAAGCAAGAACAACACATGACAGCGGGTGGGGGTTTTTGTGGGATTTCTCAGCAGATAGCAGATAGGGACGCCGACAGAAGGCTGTCACCGACGTTCTCCTTTCTTTTTATGGTTCGATCGGCAACAATACGGGAGGGAATAGAATGGCGAAGCAGATCGTGGCACACAACTATTAGAGGGTGTTTGGTTGTTGTTGATGTTCGACGGGAGAAAAATACAAGGGAGCAGAGGCTGTGAACGTTTACAGTAGGAGGTGGGGGGCTGCTCCGACAGCCTCCTCGTTGGATTTTTTTTCTCTTCCGGTAGTAGATACGTGAAGAGAGGGAGGAACAGAAGTATCACAACATATGGTGAGGGTGTTTTGGTGAGGGAATCGATGGCAAAAAGGAGAAGAGGAGGAGGGTGCCCTTGGGTGGGACCCCTTGCATATTAAATATTATTTATTTATTTATTTAAAAATAATAATTAAAAACCTCATAAATGGCCCTGTGTAATGAAATGACAAAAATGCCCCTGACTTAACGGCTAAATGGTAACGAAGTTAGTCGGAAGGACCAAATGTTAAAAGTTTTGAACCGTGAGGTTTTTGTAAATTAAGGACCAAACTTCAGATTTTTTGAAACCACAGGGACCATTTTTGAAGTTTTGTCTAACTTTTAATTTATTATTTAAGTGGTCGTCTATTCAAAAAAAAATTGGTACAAATTTTGGGTCCTGTGCTAAATGAATGCGATGGGATTGTTACTTAATTTATCCTGTTATATAACATTTAATGTGATTGCTTATTTATCAAACTTGCAGTTCATTTGCTTGTGATATTTATTTTGAAGCAATATTTTTGGGAATTTTCTAAAAAAATCACAATATTTTTTGTTTGTTTACAGTTTAATCTCAATATTTATTTTTTTAAATAGGAACCCCGATTATATAATTTATATGATAAATTGTCATATTCTTTTGAAAAAAATAAGAACTATTTTGTTAATTTTGACAAAATATAAAATAATTGAAACTTTTTTGTTCAAAAAATAAAAATTTGGATTAAACTGTTAACTGACATAAAATATTAGAACTTTAACAGAAATTTTCTCAATATTTTTTTTATGATCATTTAATTGAAACATAATTTGAAGGATAATTTTACAATGGTTATCCGGAGCAAAACAAAGAATATGATATTATAATAAAACTTCAAATATATTAATACTTCCATGTAAGATTTTGTTAATTAAATAAACTCTAATACTAACCATAAGCTTTTAGGCATAACGAAATTAAATCATTAGATGAAAATATAAGGGGATAATCGAAAATATTACGGAGAATCCGAATCTAATTCAATAATGGAAATGTCTTATTCAAACATACCATGAAAGACTCAAAAGTGACAAATAATATTCCACGATTCCTAAACAAATATAATTATTTTATTATAAAGTAAATACAATAATATATTTTTAAATTAATAGATTAATAGTAACCAAGTCAAATAAGATATTTAATAATTTATTTAAAGGAAATCGACTTTAATTACTTTAATTTATTTTATTTTATTATGTTCAACAAAAAACATGTTTTTACGTTGTTAGTATAATGTTTTTAAGATGCCATAACTTTTTTTTTAACATGTAAAATTTTTGCTATAAATAATTATTTATTACCTAAAAAGTTTCTTTTAACCCAAACAACTTCTTTTAGCCTAAAAAAAGGTAGTCCAAAATCAATCGGGGACGGGGACGGGGGTAATAAGGGGGATTTGGGGGCGGGGGCGGGGGTAGGAAGACTAGACATTTCAAGGGCGGGGGCAGGGGTGGGGGAACGAGGAATTTTCGGGGGCGGGAGATGCACTCCCCGTCCCATTTGCCCCCGTTGACATCCCTAGACCTGGCTTCAACTAACAATTCAAATTTCTAAAGCAATGATATTATATGAACAATTTTAATAAGTTTGATGATCTAATGTGAAAAAAAAAACTAAATGTGAACAAAAACCAATAGTTTATCACCTTTCTCAGGAATTGTCTTTGACATGTATAGTCGCATAAACTTTAACTTGCTTACGACAAGTAATAATAGTAATATATAAACACTTTCCGATAAGTTTCTTTATTGTCTGCATGTATACTAAAAAAAAATTAGCCGAATATGAAGACTTCCAATAAGTTGATTTACCATAACAAATCAACTTCCCACTTATGTAATTAATTTTCGATTTTTACTATTTTAATTATTTATTCTGAAGGTGAATATTTTTAATTCCCGTGAAAACTAAATGAACAAAAAAGATCACTTATCATGACCAAAACCCAAAGTTAGGCTACTGAACTACTGAAGGGCGTACGCGACTACACCATAAGAAATCATGTCGCATCACACAGTAACTTCTAGCATCAGCAATCACCTGTATCAGTCCTCATACTAGAGAACAAAACGAGAGCCGTTGATTATGAAACAGACGACTCTGAATCCCGAAAGCAAAGACGAGATCAAAAGGAACAAAAATCCGGCGAATCCCAAGGCCACGGCGATATCGGATTGGACGCAAAAGGTGTTATTAGCCGTACACGTGGCAATCGCTCTCAGTTGTCTGGCAAGCTCCGTCGCCGCCGAGCCGGCAGACAGCAACAAGTACGCGAACACCTGTGAAAGACGACACTGAATAACTGGATTTATCGTCGTTTTTTTTTTTTTTTTTTGGATTTGGATGTGTATATGTACGTGTGTGTGTGTGTGTGTGTTTTGCAGATGAAAAACATTCTTCACAGGAAAATTTTGAACGAATCGAGGAGAAGGTTTTTGAGGATTTTAATTCAAACGAGAAAGAACCTGATCGTGTCCGAAATCGAACCAGACTTGAGTGAACTCCGGGAAAACGGTAGCACCTCTAGAAATTTCCCAAACAGAAGCTCCCATTTCGAAAAATGAATATAAAGCGACGATCGCGTTTGCAGCGACAACGAATCTGTAAATATTTTGCAAATTTGTTATGTTTATGAATTATGATAGAGTTTCTGAATCGATTTCTTGAAAGCGAAAGGGAGTAGTTTGATTACCGGAAGGCGCCGAAGTGGTACCAACGAGGGGTATCCGATGAGGAGGCGGTGTTGGTGGTGAGCATGAAAACGGCGGAGGAGATGGAGGAACCAAAAGCGGCCAAACGGAAGACAAAAATCGATATATTGAAGCGGCGGAGCTTTCGTTCGGAGACGGTGGACTGGAAAAGAGGCGTGTCGTGAGGATGCGTCTGGTGGATTCGAGGTCGTGGAGATGGACTCTCAACTCCGCCGTTACGGACCATGACTTACGTTCGGCGGCCGGCGTTGTAGATTTCAGAGTTTGAATGGTGAAAATGAAAAGTGTTGGGAAGATGGCGTGATTTCCATGGGAGCTGCAGCCTACAGAGAATGAAAAGGGGATGTAGCAGAAAGAGTGTCTGTGAAAGTGAATGTGAAGGACAGAAGGTGGGGATGGTTTTTTTCTTTTCTTTTTTATACTTCTTTTGGTTTGAAAAGCCATTTTATTTTTCTTTTTCACATTCTTCTTTACTTTGTTTACATTTTGCATTATAATTTAAGGGTTAATTACTTTATTATAATTGAAAAGATGAATATTTTTGGGTGATGTATGTGATATTTATGTTTAGTGTAAGTCAACATTAAACATGTCATTAATTACTTTTAGTTCTAATTTATATATATGTTTGTGGTTGATTTAAACACAAAAGTTTTAAGGTTTCAAGACTAAAATTCAATTAAATATGATTTCGGAATTATAATAGAAATAGAAATAAATACTAAATTAATTATGGTATTGCTTTATTGCAAAGACTAAAATTCAATTAAAATAGTCATTGGGGTTTAGTAGTGCAATCGAGTATAGTAAACTTGTGAAATATTTGAGACTGATTCGAAAAATATTTGAAATTGATTAGGTTCGAGGCGAGTCAAACTCGAGCTCAAGCTACTCGAGTATATTGTTGAGTCAAGCCTGAATAATAGAATACTCGACTTGTGAGACTCATAAGCTTAGTCATATTACTCTCTTACCTTTTATTGTAATTAAATTACATAATAGAGTCAAACTGAGTCAAGTTTGCAAACTTGATAGTATTTTTATTACGGTTTAATGTCATTTTGTTTAGTTAGTAACTAATTGAGTCTAGTCCAGTTTGCAAATGTCGATTACTTTATCGAGCTTATGCCTAAGCATGAAATTAAGGCTCGAGTTGAATACGAGTCATGTTTAGAGCTTGTTATTACTGGATTTGACTCGGCTTAATGAGACACGTCTACAAAGAGTTCTCATTGGTGGTAATGCAATACAAAAAGAAGAATATCAAGGATTGAAGGTGCAATTATTGAATTGTCCTTACTCCTAATGGCTAAAGTGAAAATATGAAATACTTTCCTTGAGTTTCTTAAGTAACTGTTCATTTTTTTATTTTTTATTTTTTGTTAAAATGACTTTTTGAATCATATTGGATGTTTGGGATGGTTTATTTATAACATCTTATGCATCTATATAAAAATGTACATTAACTTATGTCGTATTAAAAGGTAGTTTAAAGAAATGTTGTTGTATTAGTTTATTATGTATCAAAATGTAACAAGTTGATAAGTTGTTTTTTTAGTGTTTGTTTAATTTTGTTTATATGTGTAAATTTACTTTATTGAGCTTATGCCTAAGCATGAAATTAAGGCTCGAGTTGAATACGAGTCATGTTTAGAGCTTGTTATTACTGGATTTGACTCGGCTCAATGAGACACGTCTACAAAGAGTTCTCATTGGTGGTAATACGATACAAAAAGAAAAATATCAAGGATTGACGGTGCAATTATTGAATTGTCCTTACTCCTAATGGCTAAAGTGAAAATATGAAATCTTTTCCTTGAGTTTCTTAAGTAACAGTTCTTTTTTTTTTGGTTTTGTTAAAATCACTTTTTGAATTGTATTGGGTTTTTGGGATGGTTTATTTATAACATCTTATCTTATGCTTATATATAAAAATGCATATTAACTTATGTCGTATTAAAAGGTAGTTTAAAGAAATGTGGTTGTATTAGTTTATTATTTATCAAAATGTAACAAGTTGATAAGTTGTTTTTTAGTGTTTTGTTTAATTTTGTTTATATGGGTAAATTTACCAAATTAGACATATTTACATATTATTGACTTTATCTATTAGTTTTACAAATAACAACTTATTATTTATACCTTATAAAATAGTAATATCAAAAATAATTTATATTAACAAAGCAAAGAAAACTTATATATGAAAGTTTAACCATTCATATATCTTATAATTCACGTTGTACGAAGAAATTTATGTGAGGTATTACGAATCAAATCATTTAAAGGTAAACAAAAGAACTAAACAAAAAACCGTAAAATAAAATGGAGTTGGACAAGTATATTAATTTTTTCCGAAAATATCATAAAAATCATTAAGTTTACATCAAAATTCTAATTAGGCATTGTGTTTTTTTGTCTCAAATTTGACACTGTGTTTTCCAAGTTGTCTGCTGAGGTGACATGATGACGTGTCAGTTTTGATAACGTAACATGTCGAAGTGTCAAATTTGAAAAAGTTGTTACAAAAGACACTAAGTTTCACTTTCTTCAATTTTGACATAAAGTTTTCATTTTTTTTGTAGTATCCTGAAATATGAAGTTTAGTCCTTAAGTTTAAAAAACTTCACAGATGACTCCTGTGGTATCAAAACTTTTGATGTTTGGTCCTTATGTCTCACTTTGTCAGCTTTCTACCGTTAACTAAAGGAAATTTTCGTCATTTCACAATCTCATGGACCATTTATGAGATTTTCTCTTATTTAAAAAATGAAATTTAATATGTAAAGGGTCTTACCCCCCCCCCCCCTCCACCCTTTTTTCCTTTTCCATTGATCATCACCAACAACCACCATTACTCATCTTCAACAGCCACCATTAGTCACCTCCACAATCACCATTAGCCACCACCTACACCAACTCGTCGCCCAAATGAAATCGATTTTATTCTATGTTTCAATCATGAGTGTGTTTGTTTTGTATATGTGTTGAAGAATATGAACAAAATTTTGTTTATCTCCATTGTCACAAGCCATTTGTCCCCAAAAAATAGTTTTGTTCTCCATATAAATCCATCAAAATCGATTTCAGTTTCAGTAATCTAAATATTAAAAAAAAAGAGTAACACACATTGAAACTTGATTTCTCCGATCACCATCACCGGTGCAAAACTGATCGAATCGAGCATTAAAAAAAACACACACAATTTGTTCAAATCAATCCGTTTTCCGTTCTTTTTTTTTGTTTTGGGTTTGGTAAAAAAACCCTAAATTTATTACATCTATAAACACATGGAATGAACTCCAGGGCAGATATAATAGTTTGGAATTAGAACTTTAATTCCTAATTGGGTAGAATTTAGGGTTTCGCATTTGGAATCAAAGCTCCCTAACTGATGTTCATGTGTTCATATTACAAGTTGTTGCATTTGAAATCCATAACTGCTGAAGAAGGAAGAAGAACAGATACAGAGGAGAAACATCGAATTTTGCAACTAGGGGGGATGCTTCGGCGGCCTCTTTGGCGACTCCCTTTTTCTGGTTTGACAACACAACACGAAGGGAAAGAAGGGAGTGGGCTTTCCGGTTCTCTGTCGATCGGAGAAGAAGAAACGAACGAGGGCAGAAAATGGTTCAGGGGTGATTGGGTGGTGTTTTTCAACAATCAATGTGTGTTTATGTAACATACACGTTTAGTTATCGTGTTTTGTAACTTTTAAAAGTAAATAATATTAAGAAATATTATGTGATTTTGATTGTTGAGTTCTAACATATAGTTTTTACTAGAATTGAAGTAAAACTATGTTTAGAATCATTCAGAAAGTATTGGAAGTCTTATAAGATTCCAATCAAATGTCAGCTATTGAAATTAACGAAAATATAAAGTGAAAATAAGTAAAATTATATTATTGAAAGTTGTAAAGAATCTCGTTAGAAACATTTAGGCGAAAACCCCATCGAAATCCGAGTTATAACGAAGAAGTTATGACTATTTGAAGTTTCGTGACAGAACCGACACGACGCCGTATGACGTAAAAAGTGAGTTTTCTATAAACTACTTTTTTAGTTTTAGTGATCTAAACGAATTTCGTAGTATTCGTTAAACCGAGAATTTTCATAAAAAGAACGTCCAAATCTGACCTCGTATGAGGAAGTTATGATTTTTCTAAGTTTCAGAATAGCAGTAGATAGCTAAAAACTTGAAATAAAGATCGAGTGATTTTTAGCCGAATCAACCTAAACGAGAATAGAAGGTCTCGTCAATAGTAGTATAACAGTAAAAAGACAGACAAAATTGGTTGTCAGATGAAGAAGTTATGAATTTTTAACGGACTTTTCCTGTCCTGGCCTGTTAAAAATATAACTTTAAAAATAAAGTCAAAGTTAGCCAACAGAGTCTATATAAAAGTTGTAGAGTATCATCTCACCTACGTGTGGATATAAAGAACGTCAAAAACGGAGCTCGTATGCAAAAGATACGAATTTTTGAAGTTTGGAAATTCGGAGTACGCCCAACGTACAGGAGAACGCCCAACGTACTTATGTTCACAGTCCAAGATTGGCCACGTCGCCTAAACTCTCGCATGTGACACATATCATACGGACTCGACACGTCTGATGCCACACATCACGCTACGCGCAGCGTACATGGTGTACGCCCATCGTACTGAGTCGCAATACATGTAATAGAGCGTACGCCCAGCGAAGAGGTTATCAGGGCAGTACGCCCCGCGTACATAAGAATTACGCCCAACGTAATTCGTGTTTCAGCCCCTATAAATAGTGAGCAAGACCTCCGGGTTTTTGTCTACAAAATCTATTCTCTCTCACTCTCTACTTCTCCTCTTGCCACTTTTTTTAACCCCCGAAGCCCCGGTATCATCCCCGACACCCGAAGCAAGTCCCGACACTCTGAAGTTCCCGAGAAAATCATATTTTCAAGTCGAAACTTTGCCCGAGCAAGGCCCGGTTTTCAACTAAAGTCATCGGTTTCGTCACAGAAAGTCATATTTAAAGTCGAAGTGTTGCCCAAATTAATACTTTAATCCCAAGTTAATTCACAGTGAGTTCAATATAGGGACAATTATATGCTATGTGTTATATGTTCAATGTGCTTTCCTGTAATATTCTGGTATCGGATTTATGCCTTTGGCCATGTAGAGCATGACTCGTATAACTTCTGGTATTGGCTTTGTGCCTTTGGCCATGTAGAGCATGTGATGTATAACTTATGGTATTGGCATAGGGCTATGTAGGGTTGAAAGCCTGTATATTCTAGCAAAATGATAATCCGAAATTATGTCTTCTGTGTCATTTGGGCTAAAGCTTTATTGATTTATATCAAGTATTGAAATTGTTATGTCTCATTGATTGTAAATCATTGAATCAGATTGTTGGTTGATATGGAAAGC